CGCAGTGCAGCAACTCGGGATAGACCCTCCCGACGCAATGGGCAAATTATTACTACCCTAGTATTTTGGGGTTTGCCAGCTCCGCACCCTTGATAGACTTGGTAACTTCTTGTAGACTTCCGTTTTTATCACTGTTTTTGTAAGGCTAACTATGTACAAAGGCGGGATTACCTTTCGATCAATACATGTTATTGTTTTAAAGATGTGCTAGACGAGGCTGACACTTGTAAACAATACAATGTGAATAAGCATCGCGGGCAGGATTTCATGGATCGCGGGCGAAACAAAAGCGGCGCGGCTGTTTGTCTAAGTGATGCGGGCCCGCAGTGCTTGAAAGGCCTGGGGAGAACACTGATAACAGAAATGCAGTAGCGGTGATGAAAGATGGTAAAAAAGTTGGCAGTAAACGGTAGTCAACGTGCTACCCTGAAGGCGAAATTAACTATTTTGCTGTCATAGCTCTTTCGTGTTCACCTCTTGTTTTACGCAATTGACAATTATTTTTCAGGAATTTTTATTAGAATCACAACAGACTGTTAATACAACGAACAAAAAATAGTTTTTTTTTATTTTCTAAAGTGTGGAAAAATACCCCCTGGGCGTATGCCAGGATATGACCTCAATTTTTTATTGTAGCAAAATTGAGGGGTGGGCGTTTGCTCGGGCATGGGGGCCTTACCTGGATAAATAACGTACACTGTTGACCAGTTTGTTACTATTGCAATTCATAGTAAGTTATTTTTAGAATTGAATGCATTTCAATTTTTCTTTATGATGCCAAAATTAACAATTTGTTTATCTCCAGCCACGTTGTTTTCAAAGAAGACCATACTAATATTTGCTTTATTCATTGGAATCATCAGCATTAATTTCTATGATAGTTGTGTCCTGTATTTACTTTCATAGTTTATCTCCCCTGATTCTTATACTTCTCGTAATTATCAAATTTAATTGTTATTTCAATGATTTGCTTTATAGGAGCTGGCAGATATTCGTGCATCTGGTCTAAAATCTTTTCGAGACATTGCAGTGGATGAGTCAAATATTCTAAACTGGCAAGGCTTAATAGTACCGGTATGTACATCTTATTTAGGATATCGCCTCTTATCCAATTTGTCTTACAATTATGTTTTCTTATTGTATCAAAGATTTATTCATTTTGTAAGATCTGTAATAGACACAATAACAAATAAGTTTGTTTGTCCATAGAACAGGTTGAATAATAAATTGATGTCTTTATCAGCAAAATATTTAACGTGGAGAAATTTCGGGGTTACATAAATCGGTCGGTTCTGACAGGTTGGTTTATCCAGGGGTCGGTTTTGACAGGATTTACTGTACCAGTCATTACAGTATGTTTCACCGTTTCTCACTACTGATTGTGTAATAAACCTATTCTTGTTCATTTTCTAGGATAACCCCCCTTTCAATAAAGGAGCTTTCAAGATAGAAATCATTTTTCCAGCAGAATATCCTTTTAAGCCACCCAAAGTAACATTTAAGACGAAAATATATCATCCCAACATAGATGAGAAAGGTCAAGTTTGCCTTCCTATTATCAGCCCAGAAAATTGGAAACCAGCAACAAAGACAGATCAGGGTATGTTAGGAGTTCACTGTTACTTGAGTTGGGATGGGAGCAGTGGCTAGCACATAGCAAAATTAATAAGACTGTACTGTAATGTCTGAGAATGTACTCCATGGAAATCTTGTACTAATGTAAACACTCTAAGTGTGTTTTGGCATCTAAATTTTCTTATCATATTAGAAGCACTTCTCCAATATGCAAGAATATTCATGAGCTAAGAGTTTTAAAGCTAAAAGTGTAAAATTGCATTTTAATAGTAAAATTTATTACTGTTTGGCAATCTAAGTAAAATCTAGTTTATACTTTAGTTTTTCTGGAGTAAATTTTTGCTGAAAAGACATTTTAGTTGTTTTTGACTCCCGTGTGTAAAGCACACAATGGGAGTCTTTGCAGTTAGTGTGTATGTGTGTGTGTGTGTGTGTGTGTGTGTGTGTGTGTGTGTGTATGTGTGTATGTATCTGTGTCTGTCTTTTCCACTGATATCTCAAGAACCATACATTGATTTTTGATGAAACTTGGTGCATAGATGCTCTGTGCCAATGCGCAGATTTGATTAGGTTTTGGTAAAAATCCATGCATATTAATTACCTAATTTGCATGATAATTAGCTGATTTTTAGCTGTTCCATGACTGTTCCACAGATATCAAAAGAACCACTCATTGGATTTTGATAAAACTTGGCACATAGATGCTCCAAACTAATGCGCAGATTTGATTAGTTTTGGGTAAAAATCTGTGCAATATTAATTACCTAATTTGCATAATGATTAATCAATTTTTGGCTTTTCCACCGATATCTCAAGTACTAATCATCACATTTCAAAAAAACTTGGTACATAGATGTCATAGAACACTGCACAAACCTGATAGTTTTTAGGGTAATATCAGTACATATTTATTTACTTAATTTGCATAATTAATTAATTTTCAGCTTTTGATATTTCAAGTAGTAATCACTACATTTCAATGAAACTTGGTACATATATGTTATAGGACACTGCACAGACCTGATAGTTTTTAGGGTAATATCAGTACATATTAATTACCTAATTTGCATAATTAATTAATTTTCAGCTTTTGATATCTCAAGTACTAATCATCATATTTCAATGAGACTTGCTACATAGATCTTCTAGGACTATGCAGAGACTTGATTAGTTTTAGGGTAAATAATTGTGGATATTAATTACCTAATTTGCATAATTAGTTAATTTGTTCCATGAATGTTCCACTGATATATAAAGAACCACGAATTGGATTTTAATGAAACTTTTAAAGAGAACTATGCAGAGACCAATCAGTTTTTAGTAAATATTTATGCTTCTTATTCACCTAATTAACATAATTAATCAACACTGATATCTCAATTACTGATCATCACATTTGAATTAAATTTGGTACATAAATGCTCTAGGACAATAGACAGGACTGATTAATTTTAGGTTAAAATTTGTTCATATTAATTCTCTAATTAGCATAATAATTCATAATTTTTGTGTTCTGTTCTGTTCATATTAGTTACCTGATTTACATAATTAGTTTTCAGCTTTTCTATCAATATCTCAGGTACAAGTATTTTAATGTGTCTTCAATACTCTCAGCACACAAGAGTTCTTTCTAAGCTTTCTTTGATTTTATGAATTTAATTGATGAGTTGATTGTAAAATATAGGATATAGATTTTATTTTCACTGATTTATTGCAAATTTCAAAGTGAAAATAGAGTACTTTACAGAATTGTTTAAGTATTGGTAAGCTGAGAAGAGTCGATTCTAATAACCTACCTTTGCATTACACTAGATTGAACTTGTTTTGTATTCTTATATTGCAGTTATTCAATCACTTATAGCACTAGTAAATGATCCAGAGCCAGAACATCCCTTAAGGGCAGATCTAGCTGAAGAATTTTCTAAAGATCGCAAGAAATTCATGAAAAATGCGGAAGATTATACAAAGAAGTTTGGAGAAAAACGACCAGCAGACAGTTGAAAACCTCACAAATGTTTTTTCGTTCCCGTTGGCCCCCATTTGTTCCCACATCTGTAGTCCAATTTGCATCCCTTCCAAAATCTCAACACATTCATAGATATGCCAAAATCTCTGTATACTTGTTTTGGCATATGGTGTTGAGGATTACCAAAATCCGTCATTTCCCCAATAATTGAGCCCGCTAGTATTTATAGATCTGGGGGGTTTGCCAGTCTTTTCACTCACGGTGGCATAATAATACTTTGTTTTTATATTATGGTGCCACTGTATCTTGAGAATAAAAATGGTTGTCTGCATTAATCTTAAATTATTTGATAAACAAAATACAATATATTATTTTTGGGGAACTCCCCATCCTCCCTCAGCAGAGTCTAACTGTAATGCATTTATAATATTATTGCTACGCAGTTTTACAAATAATTTCAGGCTACTCTGTAAGACCTTAGTTGAACCAAAAATACATGACAATCTCAATAAATAAATTCTCCATGTAGTCTTTATTTCATCGATTGTATACTGATTCACATCAACGAGAAGATGATAGAAACCGCTGTCAGCTCAGTCTCTTGGTTGTTACTTTCTATGAGAAGTTTGCTACACTGAATTCAAATGTTGATTAAATCCTAGTGACAATTTGTACTTTTTTAACACAAGTTATGATTTGAGCTGGTCAGGATTACATAGCTGACCAACATCTCAAGTCTATGAAACCCAATCAGTGTAATGTATTTCTGCTTGATCACCCTACATTATTTTACATATAGAGGATTATGAATAAGACTATAGAATTTAGTAAATGTGCATTTTTGAATACTGCTGTATAATGATACAATTAAAACGGTCGTTTCATGGCATGGCCCATCCCTCCTTTTGATTATAAGAATAACACCACTACAGTACATGCATGTTGCTATGTGTGTAAAGCTGCACGATTTTTTTTGGTGTTTTTTCTGTTCAGTCACTGTGCAATATTCTGCTGGTTAATGAAGTGCAGTTCGAACATGATCATTCAATTCAGATTACTCAAGTCTACTTGCACTGATATTTTTGCTCCTTAGCTTGCCTAAAGAATGCTTGATGGTAATTCCTCCTATAATGCAGCTGGCTACTGGAAAATATAACCAGTACTTTTGATGTTTTGTGTTGGAAGTTTAGTCACTTTATCTTTTGTAGTGGTTTATCTAGCTTTGTTGAGGGATAGCTGCTGTGCTGTGTACCCGCCAGGGTGATTTGCACCAGAATACTCTCTTGTATATCTGATGATGAAATTGGGGAAACTATTGTACTAATATTATTGTACATTGTCCTGTCCTTTATTTGTTAAATTTAACTCTGGGAATACCATCTTTGTTTACGAATTGCCACATGAAAATTCTGTTTTCTGATACACCAGACTCCATTGTATTTTAGTTTTTGTATATCAATTTAAGATGCCACGCTTACTGATTGCTAGATTACAGATTGTAACTGTTGAAGAGAGATGATTTTTATTTGAGTGATTTGGAAGGGCTGTATCTTGACGAAATGTATATATGATGTGGACAACATTCGGATAATAGAGCTTGGTTGGAGTGGAGATTTAATTTTAGGGCTAGGGGGAGGTAGTTATGAGAATTTGGTTTCTTTTGAAATAAAGAAGCCAGCTTAAACAACTTTGCTCATAGTCACTCATAAAGAACTAATGCTATCGAATGTACTGTGATCTTGACTTGTACACAATATTTTACTGTGCCTCACTGATTGTTTCGGTAGTATGCATTAACATTTCTGTCAACATGTTTCTCTTTTTTTTTTTCATAAAAAAAACAAACCTGCAGCTTCTATCGATAATAATTTCAGTTGTGTGTAATTGACAAGTAACATGGTTGGAACAGATTTCCCAGATGTATTCGATGAAAATCATTGTGCAATTATATCTGATAGTAATGGTTCTTCCCTGAATGATTTAAAATGGGGAGAACTTATCGGCATGGTGACAAGATCTTGGCACAGTACAGCAGCTGTTACTGAAAATCGATTTAACACAGTGTAATTTATCATAACCAATATGCGAGTGACCATCAAAACAATAGTAATCAAAAAAATAAATTAGCACATAGTACAGTTATCTTGATTTTTGTTCAAGAAAGTAATTCTGAGGGGTAGTGTTACCATAGTTACTTGCTGTATTATTTGTTATATACTAAAATAAAATCTTGACAAGCTTCTGTATTGTCCACTGTCGTGACTTCACTAGTACCAGTACCGCTCATTTATGTAATAGATATGTTGCTTATAATAGAATTACTTCAGGTCTGCTTTTTAGCATAGGAGCTGTTTATATAGGCGAATGTTCAACAATTACATTTTTATACTCGTGTGTGTGTGTGTGGGACAACCTATTGTTGATATGTCTGGCAAACAATTGTCTAAAATTCACAGATTTTAATGAAACTTGGTACATGAAGCCCTGGTACATTTTTTATTGGAACTAAGCATATTAATTAGCCAATTTGCATAAGAATTAGCCAATTTTCGGCTTGTCCACTGATATCTCAAACTCAAAACAGATGTCAAGGAAACTTGGTGTATAGGAAAAGCCACATGTTTAGGGTTGGAAAATGTGGATACTTAATACTAGTAGATGCATACCTTGACCCTAAAAATTAGTACTTGATTTCAATGATTTTTGTTGTACAACTCTTTCCACTGCCCCTGTTTTTTCGACCTTACTTGCCTCATATTTACTTCAGTATTTTGCAGGTATCTAAATTTTGGGTCTTACACAGATGGCCAAGAAACTGAACACTCAACACAAGGTACTGGGATGGTGTCTGAAAGGTATCGCCCTACCTCAATTAGCATAAATTAGATTAAATAAAATTTAGTACAATATCACGCATGTATCAAATGTGCAGTCTATATTCTGGTTGGTTACATGACACATGTATGATGACAATATATAAATTGATTATTTCAAACAAAGGGGGGAAAAAAACGAATGGTAGGTTTTGAAAGAATCTTGCTGAAATAATTATTGTGGTGCTTTGGCAATGAGTTATTGATGCAGAGTCACCCTACAATTCTGTGCCAGAAACCCCTCTTAGTGGTCATGGTGTATAACAAACTTACTAACACTCTTGAAAGTCCTTTATTGCTGAAATTGGCCCCCTTAGTCACCTCCGCATAACTGGTCACTAGCGAGTGTTTGGGTTATACTGTGGTATAGTTTATTGTTGAATAGTAATACTATCTTTCAAATTTAATAATTTGTGGGTCAACAAATACTGTGGATTGAGCCACGTTACAATGTGGTGTCGTATAGCTAAAATACAAAATGACAACAATATACAAAGTATATTCTTTATTCGGTGAAGAAAAATAGTTGTTTAGAAAAGAAAATAACAGCAAATTACACACGATATTGAAAAACAAACCCTGATTGATACATTAAAATTCTGATTTTTAAAAAGAATATACACTGATTCATTGTGATAGACTTAGTGACAGTCTATAATCTGAATATCTGTTGGTTCAAAGAAATGTGGAAAAGACTATCACATATTATATATTCAACCAGGTATTTATCATCAATATCTCTGAGGTTAAAACAGACGCAGAAATGATAAGGTCAGCTGGCAGGTCAATGGCAGTGTCAACTTTTGGTATGACAGCTGACAGAAAGTTGAAAGCACCTTCAATAATTTCTTTAGATAGTTTTAAAAGAGGAAAGAACATCACCACCAAACCTAACTAAAAGCAGGACTGGTACATCTACCATATATGCCTTGTATATCATTAAGTACTTACAAATAGCAATTCAAAATGGTTAAGATATTGTGCATGTATGTTAGTTGTAAAACTTCTTCAAAGAAGAAAGGGAATAAAAATATCTTTTTAAGTAAATACAATTGACTGTGGTAATTTTTGTCACTGAATATTAAAAGTGTACTGTTACTGACATATTGAAAACAACATATGTTTCACTATTAGAAGCATACTTTATTTTAGCTGGAGTTAATTTTCGCTGAAAAAGCTTTTTGGGTGTTTTGTATGGAATTTATTTTCACTGATTATTGATGAGTTGAATGTGAAATACAAAAAAGAAAAAAGTATATCTCTGGATTTTGTTTTCACTGCATCCCTTCAGTGAAAATATATTCCAAACAGAAATAAAGTATTCTACAGCAGTCAAATTATGGGAAAAGACATTAAAAGAGTTGATATATTGCAAAAGATTTTAATTTGAATATTTTGATAATGTTTTATTATATTACCGGGTATGCTAGTGTGTAATACGGTATATCCAAAGGATGTGAATACAGTGTGTTGGATAAATTATAATAGCACAAAGGCATAATGTGCGTCTAATAGAGTGAATTGATAAAACATTTTAGATATACTGTCATTATATTTACGGAACAAGGTTGTATACAAGTAAAAATGTTGAAAAGAACATCACACTTATTTTGGAAAATGACTGAAATACCCTATACTCCGGAATACAAATCAAAGGAGTGTGACTGTAGGGCATATGACCCTTTAACTACATCTTCCAACTCTGTACTGGTATACATGCTCACGAATATAGGTAAGGCATCTTTTGTTATGATATTATTTATTTAGATGTCATGGGCTGCCACACTCTGTTGCAAATATTCATGATACAGTTTTTCCTGAAAAAAAAAGAAAATAGAGATAAGTCATTGATAATAAAATAAAAACATAATAAATTTGAAACCAGTAAACATGTGTCAAATAGGAATTTTCTGAGAGGTCTAATAACAATATGTCAGTGGCGTAAATAAAACATGTTGTCCTTAATGATTTCAAAAAGACTTAAAGTTGAGTATTTTACTCTTTCCTTCAGAAACTGTACTGAAAGTTTATTTGTGTATCTGAATAATATGCTGTTCAACCTACATACAGTAACAAGTGATATCAACTGCATGCAGTGAATACAGATTGCTGAAGTTTACAAATGTCTGACATTCAATACTGACCTTGGTTTTCCTGACATGACTCTTGACAAAATCCCTCTGATCTGTAAAAACCCTTTTTTCTTTTCGAGACAATGTTGGCTTCAATCTGCACAAGAAAAAATTATAATACATGTACTAGAAAATTCCAGGTAATGTGGGAAGGTTTGAGGTGTTGACTAAAGCATAATCACTTGGTCATGAATACATGCAGATTATGCACTTTGCTTTGGGGTTCAGTGGACTAAGTGGTCAATGATCTATGTGATAAATTTAACAGAACAGTGTCATAAAAAGTATATGCATCATATTTGCCCCATTACAAGTGCATTATTTTATGTAAATGACAGGCGTTTCATGTATGAATGAATGTAACCAAAGTCATATTTTAATGATCTAGCATACAATGATACATTTGTTCGTGTATGTGTATTTCTAACAGGGCAAATATGGTACAAATGGTGTGAATTCAGCTCATATTACCCTTGGGAAGCAGCATCTGCATCACTGCATAGCAGTATTAATGTTTTATTCTGTCAGTTATTTCTGCATCCAACAAATGGTTTATTCCACCCAAATTTTCCACCCATATCTTGAAAATTTCACATGCTATTTACACCCAAACTGTACTTGGTTGACATTTCATAGTGGTTTATACGACTCCCAAATTTAAAGATGATCAGATATTTTAAATTATTATAACCACAAAAAAACCAAAATCTTGAAAAATATACAAAAAACACCCACCAATCAGTTTTGGCCGAGATTCCAAACTATAATATCCTAGTTTGCATGAAATTTGATAAAAACTGTTTGAATTATTGTAAACAAAAGAGAAAGTTCCACAACAACAAAAAGAACAGACATTTTCCACTCATCTATGATGATGGGATCAGGCAAGATGAGATTTAATGCAAGGAGGCTGGCTTGGACATTTTATTCTTTTCAAAGTTTCAAAGTAAATAGTACACCATGCAAAGGGGAGAGGGATAAGGTAGGTGTGTATCCACTAAATGAGGGGGTAACTGAGTGCACTGGCTAATAATTATTTTATTTTTTTTGTGTCCTTATTCATTACAAATAACTCACTTTCTGAAAGACATGTTTATAAATAATGAACAATTTTTAAATCATGGCTAAAATTTGTGGAAGAGAATAGCTTGTGGACGAATCTTAAATAGTGATTAGTGACTAGCAAAAGGATAGTGGAAGCTCATGGATTATGGAGTGTTGGACTAGTGTGAAAATGCTTTAATCTGGAACACATAGAGAGAATATAACAATGGCGATGTGGGAAGGTTTTAGAAAGCATACAGGGTAAAGTCATTGTGTATATAATATTACAGTATCTGCTACCTACAAGTTAACCCTTTTGAGCACCATAATGTTTCCTGGCAAAATCTTGGTGTAACACTTTGCCGGTTTTATGTCTTTTTCCATAATCTTTTTTGATATTTTTGTCCATAAGGACAATTTCCTATTGGCTACAAGTCTTGATCAAAATGCAGTACTTAAGGAAACAATTACCGGTATGTAAATTGTGACAAAATTCAACTTTTGTGCTTAAAGGGTTAAGACGATGTGGGAAGGTTTTGGATGATACATCAGTAAGGAAAACTCACCTTGAAGAGAATTTTGCCACAGCCAACAGAAAGACAGTAAAGACGCCTAAAGCAATTGTAACATGTAGATGATACTCCTTAGGTATCTGCTTCCATACTTCACGTACAGGTTTCTATAATAGTAACAAATATTCATGATATGCGTCAAAGACAATGGTAAATAAAGGTAGTAAACTAAAAATACTTTAATTTTATTGGTCAAAACGTTTGATTAACACATGCATGCAAGTGCAAATTATTTAAAGTAAACTGTTACTTTATTGGCTTTATGAGAACCACACCTAAACCATGAATTGTGTGCTGGATCATCAAGATATTACTCAATTTCACCATAGACATGCCTTCACCATCTACATAATCAGATGCTCAACTGATACAGCAAATACAATAATTTTGACAGAAATTAACGACTCAAGGGTGTTTGCATGGAGGAATTTTCACCGCCGTTACTCTGTTATGATGATAGATGAAAGTGATTCCCAGATTCAGTATTTTCTTACACTACATGCCATATTTGCTTACATAAATAAAAAGTACCAGTGTATATCCATTAATTGCAATTTATATTGTATGTGCCCTTCTAATAGCCTAACAATAAATTTACCCCACCACCTCTCCACATAATCAACTGTTAACTCACCAAATACAGTGCCACTACTTCACGATTTTTTCGACCCAAAGTGGATTCTTGAAGATCCTTTGAGACATTGCTAGCAAGGAAATTGATAAACCATAATAGAGGCAGAACACATCCTAATAAACCAAGGAAGAATCCTTTACCGCGAGCTCTCAGATTATAGGAGCTGGCAGCCCTGCAACAGAACAATTCATAGATGAAAACACACACATACATAGGTAAATATTATTGATGATAGAATACGATGGGGAAGGCCAAGAATAGATCAGGTTTGTATAGGACTACCCTCACAGCACCCATATAATAAGTTCCATTGAAATCTGATTGGTGCCCTAAGACATAAGGAAAGCTGATAATTATGCAAATTAGGTAATTTGCAAATTATTCAACAGCATTGATGTACCAAATTTCATTAAAATACAATGATGTCATACTCATAAACAGACATACAGACAGGGTAACCACAAAGACACCTATTGTAGGCTTCAGAGTCAAAAAATAGAGAGAATAAATACCTATCCACTGCTAGCTTGGTATCAATTAAATCGGCTATTTTCTCACAGTCTCTTTCCAGTGCATTCAAAGTGTTCTGTATTGTCTGATTGATAGTTTTCTCTATCTCTTTACATACCTCTTCTATTTGGTTGGCACAGCGAGTAGTCTGTAAAATCAACAATATTGTTTGCCATTCAATAATTTGATGGAATAATGAACCATAGCTAAATTCTCACTACTATGGTACACAATTTCACAGCTACCAGAAATGTGACATAATATGGATGATATGAGGGGCACTCACCTTGCCGCTGATCAAATTGGGCACATATATAGTAGGCATATCAAAGCAGGTTTTATTCAGTCCAGGGCGCTTACATAATTCTTGTACAATTTGCATCATAACCCGTTGGCGATCACTCTCATGTCCAGCCTCATCAGCTTTGGACAGATAGAAGCGTATCCGGTCACTATGATCTTCGTTCAGTTTTTCCACCAAGTTCAATGTGCGTTTACATAAAGCTTGACCAATGGGATCAAAAAACACAAATATCAGATCAGCTCGGTCACCTGTGAATAACGACAAACATTTTGGCTAATTAACATAAAGAAAATAAAACAAATACATGTAAGCAATAATTCGGGACACTCACACTATCAGCCACAAAAGTCATTAAGACAATATCTTTCAAAAATGCCCTAGCGAAATTTTACCTGATTTTCAGTGTAAGCAATCATTATTCAAAAGGATGGAATCTAATGCTTCTACAAGAATAACTGAAGAGTCTGGTGTGCAACTCAGACTAATCTAAATGGAAAATGCTTCACGTCAAATATTGATTTTGTGATTGAGTCCATCTTTGACTGACAAACATAGAATCCTGCATGCAATTCGTTGAATTGATGGGATCCAGAGATGCTGAAAACTTAATCACAAACAAGTCTCTTGAACTTCTCAGTGCTGTTCTGTTATTGAATACCATAGCTGTTGTATTTACCACAGAACACATACAACTTTAAATATATCAGTGTAGATTTTAGTATAGCATCCGACACATTTATTTTTTTATATTGTATGCATGTATGTTCAAACAACCGAAAGATAGAAGGTGGGAGCACCCATGGGAAGGGCAACGGGATAATGGCGATACCTACCAAGCCATAAGATCGACTCATCAACATTAAATGGATATTTCATATCACCATCAACCAAACCAGGAGTATCCACAAACGTTACAAGGCTGAATTTCTTCTGTTTAGAAGTAGTAATCTCTGTCACCAGATATTCTACAACACCTATCAAAACATAATGCATTGTAAACAATTAGGCAAAGTGCGTGGCTGAAACTCAAACTACCTTGCTTAAATGATGTCATATGATAGAACAGCACCCTCAGTGTTGAACTTTTTAAACACTATAAACCGAACCAGGCCACTGTAGAAAACCACAATTTTGCCTGTGTGTTTAGCAAGCCAAAATCGGGAATTAAATTATATATACTGTATACACTAGATTTTTCATTCTTTCAGATAGAAATAATTGGCTACCTTGATCTAGAGGTTTTGATTAGGTTTGAGGGAAGCAATCAGCTGTGCCAGTGACAACAGCCCTTCACCTGGCAGCATTGTTAGCTAATGATAATGCACAAGAAGGCGTTTGTTTTGGCAGCCAGTTGCATGATGGGAATGAGAGGAATGACCGCACAGCATGAACAGGGTATAAATTGGATAAGTGATGTATGATGGGAAGGAAGGCAGGTACAGGGTTACTATAATAGTGATGCATGGTAATTATGGTGAAATGAGACCATTGGCTGCTCTTTTGTCTTTGATGTTTTGAATATATCGATTCACACTTTTGTTGAGAAAAGTTTGAATCGATAAATTCAAATTGGAGAACACTTGAAATCAACTGACAAATCATGGTCTAACTACTAAATCAAATTGGGAGGGGGTTTTCTGGCATGAGGGTCACCATGTCTAGTTATACAATTTTGCAGCTTCATGAGGTGAATGGAATAACCCAGTTCTTCAAGTTGAAAACCCCTATTCTTACTAATGGACTTGGAGCACACTGATCAGCATACAGTCAACAACTTTTGATACAAGCTACAGAAAAACTACACATTTCGCTATTTGGAGATTGAAACCTGGCTTTTTTAAGCAATTTACAACTATGAATATTATGGCATTGACAGTACACTAAATAAACAAAAAATATTTGAGCATGTGTCAACATTTTCTTAAGAACCTAGTTAATTTTTTTTTTTTTGGGGGGGGGGGTGCTTTTGAATAAACTTCTGCCAATCACAAGTACATAACATATACATTTGTAGTATAAACTACCATCTGTCATCTGTTTATAAGCTTTTGAAGACCAGCTTGGCACATTAACACTTTGAATAGCCACACCACAATTCTGCCAATGATGCATCACCAAGTACCGGGTAATCAACCATCTGGTAATGTGCCAAGACTCTGCACACACAACTTCAGAAAGCCTGATTATAAATGGATAACAAATAGCAGCAGATTTACGATTATTGTTACCTACCAGTGGCTGGCAGAAGTTTACTCACATGCTACTTTTATTTGTTTCACCCTGCATCAGAATTAGCCTGACATGTTGGCGTGAGTGGCGCCCTCGCCGACCGAACTTATGCCTGACAGAATAGTGCATGTCTCGTCTGCAAGATCAACACTGCGAATTCGCAAAGTTTACGCCTTCTTGCAAAGAGTTCAATGAATATTCATTTTGGTGGTCGTGGTAACAGGGCAGAAACTTGCCAGCACCTTATCGCAAATATTGACAACAAATAAACTTGGCCGTGAATGGTTGCTCTTTGATGGCTGTCACTGTCTGACGTCCCTGCAATTTGATTCACCGACAAAAAATCATCAGGGAAGTGAAAAACTACACCACTCATGTCAGGCGTGTGTTGGGCTTGAAGTACCACAGAGGGCGCAACCTCACCAGACAACATTAGAATTTGATTGGGTTTTAGGGAAACCTTGACAGAGGCGATTAGACACTATGACGGCCTTTGTTCTGTATACAAGTAATAATTCAACCCCTTTTGTGAAACACAATGTCACTAAACATTGACAAAATCAGTTCTATCAACCATCTGGCACTTACAAATCTAATGTGTTTTGATAATTTAAATTTGTCTGTGATATAATCTACAACAACTACCACACATGCAGGGTTGTGTTATCAAAATAGGGATATCTAGATCTTATTTTACAATTTATCTTTGATTTAATCTTAAGTTCAAGTTCAATCACCTGACACACACACAAACACACAATGGCATTGCCACAGGCTTACTTTAACTTCAAGGTTAAAAGCAAATTGCCTCATAACTCCCATTGCCACAAACCAATATACATGTATAAGGGGATGTGTAATGTATGTAGTTGTGAATGATTGCAGCATGTTACACAGGATTTGTTTATAGTGTTTTATTTTAAAGGCGAATCAGTGGAAAGTAAAAACGATAGCCACTATTTTAGAATTAGGTGTTTGGAGCAGGGACGAATACTAATTTTAATAACACGTGCTGCAATCTGGCATTAAATAACGTAAAAGCACAAATATTCACTGTGTTTTAATTGCATAAAAAAATTAGATGCATTTCACAGCAGAATTTATTTACCAGCTGTAATAGTAAAATTAAAAAAAACAGTGAATACTAGTAATGCTCTGACAGTATTACTAGTATTTTGTATGGACAATAATGTAATGAAATGACAACAAGACTAAGAATAACAGTTTAATAATAATTTAATATAAAGTAAAATAAGATTTATTATGAAATTGACATCACAGTTTGCAACAATACTCTTATAAATGACTAATGAAAACATGACAGAGTACTGTTGTTTATTTACTCCACTGCACACCACTACATCATGCTGCACCTTTAATCAGATGGTGCCAGCAAGAAATAGCGATGTGCAGTAAAGAGCAGATATTCCATGGTAGTCGTAACAAAGGACAGTCAGACTTGTATTACGCAGAACTTGTTTGTTATATCATTTATCATGCTTCCAAAGTTGCTAACATTTACACAAACACTATAATACTAATGTTTTACAAATCTGCACAGGAGTCTGCCAGCACAGAGAAAGATGCGAGGTGATTTCGGGAACACACATGTTCAACTGTAAAGTGAGGTACAAATGAAAGTGACAGCAGAATGACAGCAGCTACTACCTGGTACACTGCTCCACTCCACGTAGCAGCTGTTGAGAGGTATAAGCAATAGCATGCAGCGTGAAGTGTAGCAAGGCAAGGCAAATCATAAATAAAACAGCCAAACTGATAGGCTAACAAGCGTGTCGCCATGATGGAAAGAATAACCATGCTGATTGGTTAAATCTGCACTAATAGCAGTAATAGCTAAGCTGATTGGTTATTTACCTGCACCAAAATAAACTTTAGAGCTACAAGCAGCTATGCAATTCTCAGCCAAGCATATTGACTCAATCTTACCTTCAATGTTGACAAGCTCTTTGAAATGTGGATACAAGTGTAAAGTAGCATTGCCCTGAAATAACAGTTAAATTATGCAATTGCAATTAATATTTGTGTTTTTGCACGAATTGAATAAAATCTTTTTTTTTTATACTTTTGATATTACATATTCTGATTACAAATTCTGTAATATTCACTTTTCAACTCAACTTACAGTCAGCGACTCTCGTTTGCGCCCACTTGTAACAAAAGTGAACCCTTGTGTTTCTATGGCAACACCAGTCCTTTGAACATGTTCTTCAATGTACCTGTGAAAAGAGATTTGATGACATTGCAATTAAGCAGCACTGTTGTTCATCCACCTATTGTGAGGTGATAATGTTCAAATCCACTGGCACCCATTATTCTATGTTGTCTTAGGTGTTTTTATCTGCCTTTGTGGATCACAAAACATGTTTAGAATCAAACAAAGATTTTATGTGGTGAGAAAAACCAGACTCACCGTTTTTACTACAATTTTAGTTATTCACTTCCTGATTTTTTGGTAAGTTTGGCTTTAAATTTAGTCAACTGATCGTAGGTCTCAACACAAGTACAATATTTTTTCCATTAGTAGCACTAATAGAAGCGCATATAAAACCAAAAAAATTTTAATTTTAAAAATATGACTTATTTTAACCATAGAAACAACTCCATAATTTTACATAAATCTGTTACGTAATTGAGTAAATATGGTTTCAGTAAATATGGTTTCAAATTTTTAGTTGATAGGGTTGCAGAATTTTGACAGCAGCAAAAACATTTTTTCAAAGTCGTTACTTACCAGTTGATAAATGAACTTTTACCAGCGGAATGGTTACCAATAAGCAACACTGTGATTTTTTTTCGTGGAGCTAACAAATTCAACCCCAATCTTTCAGCAATTTGGATAAGACCTATAAGGGACATACAACAAAATGAGATGTTTTATTTACTAGCACAGAAGAGCATCAATTTTAGAAGCATATGAAATCATACTGCCATTCACACAGCAGTGCTACTACGAGTGAGCCTCTACAGTGTAGTGGTTCAATTTCTCGAAAGAAAATTTTTTTTGTGAGTTAAATTTTTACTCTAATTCTGTAGCCAATAGAAATTATACCAGGCAACAAAAATGTTCAGTAGCATGCATTTCAGTCTTTACTATAGTCAATTCAAGTATTCTATCTCAGTTAACAATATGCAAATTATATTGTTCAATCTTCAAAGAACTTTGTTTTCAAGGTCCAAGTACAATTACTTGCCCAGTAACAAATTATTCTTAGCTCATTGTTCTTTCTAAAATCTTCATAGTAGTAACACAATTGACGTGATTAGCCACGCTACCAATTAATATGCTAATGAGACATTCATGTAACCATGACTACCAGCAAAGTGGGTAAATGAAGTGGCTTGATTGAAATGAAACCTACATCAGCTACTAAGTAGCATACAAACATAATATCAGACAGTGAACTGATAATAGAAATAGACTGCAAAGCAGGATTATCATGTCTGGCTGATATGAAGGTTATAAAGCAATAGTTGAAATGCTTTTTGTATTTGACATATACACTGATCATATCTCCCCATGACTCAGTGAACATAAAAAGTGCAAAATGAATGACATCAGTGGACATCATAGATGAATCATTTTAGATTTTTCTTTCTGTAATAACAATGATTATAGAAGAGGATAAAGGATAAATGACCACACCCATACTACCAACCCCCATTTTCTAAGGCAGAAAAAAACCTAATTGCGATAAAAATGATTATTTTAGCTAACTTTAGACAACAGTAGAGAAAATAAAGACTAAAATATACTTAGGTTATGTTTTACTGTTAGAAGTAGAGTTAATCTACATTATGTACAAAACCTGCATCATCATAGACTATCAAGGTCACTTTGAGACAACATTTCAACTTATTTTTTTTAATAGGAAAAATAACATGACTATATATACACCATGATATCAAATTGATAACAAATAAATGTCTTCACCGGAGTGAAAACTAGTATTTAAACACTAATCAGAAAAATTTACATAAAAGCTGTTTTCCAGTATGGAAACTATGGAGGTAGAAAAGATTACCTCCATGATGGAAACCAAGGCCAACGTCAAAACAATTAAATTTGAATTTTTATTAGTCTATATCAGAGCTAACATTCATCACTATAATAACAGAGTGAAAACAGCGATACTAAAATGAACATATCTGTAAGAATAAAATACCACGACAACAAGAAGTGTTTCATAAGATACAAATGTACAAATGTGATTAATATGCAAAGCCTTTCCTGTCTGGGTGAATGTCACTTCTGGTTTCCAGCTGAGAGAGGGAAAACACATTAAATCTAACATCAAGACTGGAAACTACTAAACAGTGATAACACATAACATATTGATTGGAGAGAATTTATGACTTAACTATGAATTGGAAAGAATTAACAATTTAGGAAACAATGCAAAGCAGATATGCTGTTTGTTTTTAAAAAAAAAAAAACATGAAATGAACGCATCATTCTGGCATATATATATATGGTACATAGAAAGGATAAGTTTCAGTCCTATAAATATGAATTCAGTAAAGAGATAAACCTTACCAATGTTGTGGTATAAACCACACAGTTGAAGAGAAACAACATTTCACTGTTAGCAGCCAAGCTCATTCAGCAGTTCTGATAGCTATCTCTCACTCTCCCTCTATAGAAGACTAATTTGCATATCTTTGTCAGAGGTTACAAACAGGATTAGCGATTACATAATCACTGTAGTTAAAAAAAAAAAAAGAAAGACCTAATCTGGCCTTGCACTACCTGTCAATAACTACTAAAATCAAAATGATAGACAAATAGGAAATCCTCTAGCCAGGGAGCAATGAGATATTTTCACCAGCAAAATAACAAACTGACTGTCAATTGCAAAATTGCATTTGCAAATCCCGCAAGGTTAATGACCAGCCGGTCAAGGCCCTTATCTCATTGGATCATTCCATTCATACAGAGGTAACTACCTTATTAATAAAGAGGCAAATCATTATAAAGTTAGTGATATAAAACCCTCAGAGTATTTAAAATTAATGTGAAAATAATTGACTAGTCTATTGGATAGAAATAACAAAATGTATGGGCTCTGTCAGAAGATAAATATAGAAGTCACCCCATGATTTCAATGTTACACCCCCTCCCAAGCTTGATCCTAGTAAGAACACCCACTGAACTGGTCATGAATATGCATCCTGCAACCTAGAGTGTATGTGAGCTGGCTGATAAACTGTCAAAGCACACAAGGAACACACCATTAGAGATAATGAAAAGCATTGAACAGATGCTTCAAAACACAAATTAAAATCACATAATTTTGTATTACTTTTTTTGTTTTTGTTTTTATATATTTATTTCTAACAACTGGCAGAAATGTTCTTTTCCTAAAGATTCAATAAATATTATTATTACCATACAGGACTTATCTGAGCTGCATATACTACCATCATGAATCACTTCTATCAGTGTGCATAGAGCTACCATTTTTTAATCAGTAGATGTATTATGTAAGAAAATATTTATCACAGAATTTTAAAATGAAATAAATCAAGTGAAATAATCACTTTCAAAAACTATAGCTTGTTTGCTTGTTTAAAAAACACCTTTTAAAATTATGCAACTGCACTTTACCATGGAAACCATTACAATTTGTAGATTCAACTATGATGTAAACAATATGAATTTGCATATACATTGTTCTGTTAACCTTGGTTCTCCCAAGGGGCCCTTCCATTGAAGGGAGTTGTTGACATGATTACATAGTTCAAAAATACAAACTCCAAGTATGAATCTTCATCACTAATGAATAGTTTTCTTTCAGGGGGGTTGAATTATAGGTTCAATTTCCTTTTTGGTGATACACTATGGAACATAAATGGAAATGTGGGAAATACCTCATCAGCTTTAATTAGGAAATATGTAACTGATTTATGGCAATATAGAAAAGAAATGATGAATGTAATTTAAAGATATGTATTACTGTTTTCATGGTGCCAATACAAAGGTTGAATAAACATTATTATTATATACCCACAGACAGGAAACTACACAGAAAAGCAGGTCGGCTTCAATTGGTAAGGTACATGTATTTTGGTGAAACTGAAAGTGGCACATTCTAAATTGATATGTTGTTCGATCCAAAGTCCAGGTCTGTTACAAATAGCAATGTGGCCTCAAAAAGGAATTTTATGTAAACTTGTTCAAAAATAAACTACAATTTTTTTTAATGGTGTGCTCATTTTCAAGTTTGATGCGAATTAGTCCATGAGAGTACTGTGATAGCTGAACTATGTATCTTATTTATGATGGCTAAAATGGCTAATCCTGATAAACACAGAATATATTTGGATATTAAGAATATCTCAAAAGTGAATATTCGTGGTGTATTTTAAGTCTAACCGTACCAGAAGTTGGAATTTGTTACTACTCTAAATTTACAAACATATTTTAGTATAAGATAGTAATAACAACATGAACATCATATATAGATGCAAAGTGCAGCAACAATCATCAGTTATCTTGTACAGCTACATGTACAAATAAATGTGGGTCTTGTCACTATCACTGCCATATTGTTCTAAACACCAAAACAGCAACATTGCCCGATATTAAAGTTGCTGACCAGTTTCAATTTGAATTGAAATTTCTATATAATTAATGGCAAAGTAATTCAAACAAAATGTGTCTACTGACACAGTATAAAATGTCAGAACATCTTTACTTGCATGTCAGGTGCATGTCATAGCACTTGAAATGAGTGTATTTAGCCAAACACGCTAACGTATTTGTAAAAGTGGTTTGTACTAATTTTATAACGATCTCCATGCGCGTATAGCAAACTAGTCAGCAACGTAGCAGGCAATGTTGCCGTTCTGAACAATATGGCAGTGACAGTAAAATATGAGAAGCTATTACTACTTTAAACTACTGTGGAATACTTTATTTTTGCTGGAATTAATTTTCACTGAAAAGGCTTTTTGGGCGTTTTGTGTAGAATTAATTTTCACTGATTTTTGATGAGTTTAATGTGAAATATAGGAAAAATAGTATATTCGCTGGATTTTATTTTCACGGAAACATCCTTTCAGCGAAAATAGCGAAAATAAATTCCAAGCGAAAATAAAGTATTCTACAGTATTATTATACATCTGTCATCATAACGCCATAAGTTACAGCGTGCTGTAATTTTGCAGTATTTTATGGGGTATTTTCATCCTACCATATTAGGAAATGCGAATTCCAAATATGGAATGATTACGTGCGTAAGCGTCCTTTAATAATAAAAACAAACATGGCTGCTATCGGAGTTTGACCGGACTTCACACAAAGAAGTTTGCTGATTCTGTTCTAAACTTTTTGAAATTCGGCATTCCCATGATGTATCCTTGGAAGGAAAAGATGTATAATAATAAGGTTATTACGAGAATACCTCAAAGTATGCACTCAGACAGTACGCCATGCATAGACCTCTGCTATGTGTTGGTCAATACTCCAGCTGTACTGTCTTTGTGCATACTTTGAGGTATTCTCGTAATAATCTCATATGATATTCAGACATTCAAAATATCATCTAGAGCCAAAAAGTAGAGCTACAGATTTAGACATTTATAATTTACCTTTTCATTCTAAAATTGAATTTAAATTACTTAAATTGGCTATTACACACACCTGCACCTTAATGCTTTGTTTGGGGTATTTACGAGTGAGAAAGAAGCCACAGGATAAAAAAGTCAATCCTACTAAATAACATATGGCAAGCGAAGAAACACCCAGCCACGTGCAGGGACGAATGGGGCTGAATAAGTGACTCGCGAGTCAATGGAAGCAATCCTCATACTATGTAATGTTAGTTTATACTTAAAATTTTAA